TCTTGGAGTTTGTGAGGGTGTTCACGAGAAGACTTTGTTCGGCCATGGTTGCGCTGTGTCATCAAAACTAAACTACTAACGGGATTTCACTAGAGAGGAATTTTGAGACTACGTCCGGTCAATTTGTGGCAACCACTACAGTTCTACTGCATAAAAAAATTTTTGACATACGCTTTGATTACCCCCTGATTATAAAGGCTTCAAAGTGATTAGTCATTCAAAATAAAAGTCTTAATAGCTCTAGATATTTACTTTATATTGTAATGGTATTTAAAATGAACTGCCATGGAAATGAATGTACTTGATTGCATCATTCGAAGCTTCCAGCTTGCATTCGAATCAGATGAATGATTTTTGCAGGAGCTTTGATGGCTCACTTCTTAAGTCGCTTAGCAACTTAGATAAAAGTAAATACACATCCGTATTTAGGGTTATTTAACTGTTTGCATCTGCAATACCCACATATTTATTTCAAATGGCAGGCTTTATGATATTTATCATTAAGCCTTAATCTTTGACTTCAGCTTCCCCCAAGAGGGGGGGGGTACATTTATAGCAGTTAATTAATAACAATTCATTAGCTGTCTTCTTGCTTAACAGTATCTCTGGCTTTCCGTCCTTGTCTTTAGAGCTGGATATAGCAGTTAATTATAGAAATTCATTAGCTGTCTTCTTCGTTCATGAAGGGGGGTACATTTATAGCAGTTAATTAATAGCAGTTCATTTAGCTGTCGTCTTGCTTCCCAGTATCTCTGGCTTTCTATGTAGCAGTTAATTAATAGCAATTCATTAGCTGTCTTCTTGCGGCAGTTAATTAATAGCAGTTCATTAGCAGTCTTCTTGCTTAACAGTATCTCTGGCTTTCCGTCCTTGTCTTTAGAGCTGGATTACATTTATAGCGGTTAATTAATAGCAGTTCATTAGCTGTCTTCTTGCTTCCCCGTACTCTGGTTTTCCGTCGTTGTCTTTAGGGCAGGACACCGAATCAGGTGGGTCTTTATAGCAGTTAATTATAGAAATTCATTAGCTGTCTTCTTCGTTCATGAAGGGGGGTACATTTATAGCAGTTAATTAATAGCAGTTCATTCGCTGTCTTCTTGCTTCCCAGTATCTCTGGCTTTCCGTCGTCCCTCTTCTTGCTTCCCAGTATCTCTGGCTTTCCGTCGTTGTCTCGTCTTGCTTCCCAGTATCTCTGGCTTTTTTTTGCTTCCCAGTATCTCTGGGTTTCCGTCGTTGTCTTTAGTGCTGGACACCAAATCAGGTGGGTCTTCTTCATTTTCTCCTGTGGGACACCGAATCAGGTGGGTCTTCTCCATTTCCTCTTGACTGTACCAACATAGGGGGCATGTGGGTTGAGTGTATACTTTCAATCTGCTACATAGAGGGCATGTGGGTTGAGTGTATTCTCCCAATCTCAGAGGGCATGTGGGTTGAGTGTATACTCCCAGTCTGTGAAAGGGCATATGGGTTGAGTGTATACTCCCAATCTGTGAAGGGGGCATGTGGGTTGAGTGTATACTCCCAATCTGTGAAGGTCCATGTGGGTTGAGTGTATACTCCCAATCTGTGAAGGTGTACATGTGAGTTGAGTGTATACTCCCAATCTGTGAAGGTGTTTATAGGCAATCGTGTTCGGTACGTAGTCTAAACTCATCAACGGCTATCTGTGAAGGTGTTTTGTCAAGCAATCGTGTCCGGTACGAATCTGTGCAGAGGGCATGTGGGTTGAGTGTATACTCCCAGTCTGTGAAAGGGCATATGGGTTGAGTGTATACTCCCAATCTGTGAAGGGGGCATGTGGGTTGAGTGTATACTCCCAATCTGTGAAGGTCCATGTGGGTTGAGTGTATACTCCCAATCTGTGAAGGTGTACATGTGAGTTGAGTGTATACTCCCAATCTGTGAAGGTGTTTTGATAGGCAATCGTGTTCGGTACGTAGTCTAAACTCATCAACGGGGCAATCCTGTCCGATACGTAGTCTAAACTCAGCAACGGCTTCGATTCTCGCCGCCGGGTATGTCGGAGAGTGCCACTGTCCACTATTTCTCCTCTACCTTGAGGTCTGTCCACTATTTCTCCTTTGTTCGAGCTTTGAGTTCGTTGCATCTTGAGGTCTGAAATTCTCTCCTTCGAGCTTTAATTTCGTTGCACACATGAATTCTCTCCTGATTAAGGCCTTCATTGTGTGGACTGTCCGATACGTAGTCTAAACTCAGCAACGGCTTCGATTCTCGTAGTCGGCTATGTCGGAGAGTGCCACTGTCCACTGTTTCTCTGTTGTTCGAGCTTTGAGTTCGTTGAACCTTGAGGTCTGGAATTCGAGCTTTGAGTTCGTTGAACCTTGAGGTCTGGAATTCTCTCCTGATTAAGGCCTGCAATACCCACATATTAATTGATCAAATTTATGTCAAAATGAAATTATTTATATATTTATGCATAATACTATTAATGTTATAAGTAAATAATGTGTAGCGGATTGCTACGTTAGTAAAGCCTGACCGACTCAGAAATCTCTATGGCAGATCCCTAAGTAAAGCCTGACTGACTTAGAAATCTCTATGGCAGATTCTCCTGACTCAGAAATCTCTATGGCAGATTCTCCAACATCTAGATTGATTCCCTGAACAAACTAAGCTATAGCCCAGCTATAGGGAAAACAGACGTGTAGTACGGAATACGTTTATTCGGTACGTATATTGATAGCGAAGCGTTATGTTGGCAAAGCGTTTAGTTATCAGATAACTCTAGCATAATTCGCGTGAACATATTAATTTATATCAAATGGCAGGCGTCTTGATGGTTATCATTAGCCCTATAGTTGACATCAGACTTCACAGAGGGGAAGGAATATCAAATTGAAAAAGTCGAGAGGGGGGAACAGAAGAGTGTTTCAAAGGTGTAAGAGACAAACACAAAGGTAGAAAAAAGGTGAGGTGAGTACCGTGAAGGGATCGAATATGGCCTAGAGTGAGGTGATGGTAATTTAAAGTGAGTAGTCAACTGCCAGTTAATAGACTTTTATGCCGTATGAGTTTACGTTGCCCAGGGTGCACCACGTGGAGGTAAGTCTATCGCACACCCCATTCGCGTGAACATTAATAGCTAAATATTTCTGAGTAATATTCCATAGCAGGATTTCTATTTGGTCATTGATGGAGTGTCCCACAATGTCCCCACTCACCAAAAGTAATTAGATTGACAGACAAGAGCACAATTAATGTCTTCTTAAATTCTCTTTGTTAAGTGTTAGGTTAGTTAGTTTGCAGATATTGCACAACAATAAGCAAATATATACAGGAGTTTTGGAATTTATTTTGTAGCCGTATCAGAAAAAAGTGTTAATTAGAAGAAAATAGAACATTTAAGAAAGATTATTACCTCTGCATTTGGAGCAGATTGTTTTCATATCTTCCAAGATACACTTCTCAAAACTGCTTTAATTCTGTCGATCAACTAGAAAGCGTTGAATCCGTAGTATTGTAGGACACGTTATCGCTGTGTGCGTCATCGTATGCCTGCATGTCTGCAGAGGTGCGTAGTACAACTCTGTGTGCAGCGACAGTACAAACAGTGACCAACTAGCCTCTGTTTGTTTGACCTAATCCGCCATCCTGATCATGATCGAACCGGCGACCTGGGAGGTGCGACCGTACAAACAGTGACCAATCATTAACCTCTGTTTATGACCGTACAAACAGTGGCCAATCATTAACCTCTGTTTAACGCGATCGTACAAACAGTGACCAATCATTAACCTCTGTTTAACCTAATCCCCCATCCGTGACCAATCATCAACCTCTGTTTAACCTAATCCCCCATCCTGATCATGAGTAGCACCCTGCGTGTATACATTATCCGCGAGATACTCACCGAATAAACGCGTTCCGTGCTACACGTGTGTTTTCTTTAGAGCTGGGCTATAGATTAGCTAGTTTCGGGAGTCTTGCTAGATGTAGAAGAATCTGCCACAGAGATTTCTGAGTCAGTCAGGCTTTACTAGTGTAGCAATCCGCCACAAGTCTACAAAACAATATACATAACTAGTGTAGCAATCCGCCACAGTATTCTACCTGCACTCAAAGCTCCATCCCCCAGTTTTCACTACCGCAAAACAATTTGAGATCTGGTTGGGACCTGAGTGGTTGGAGTGGGCACGGTGTCGGAGGATTATCTTACATTGGTGTTTGTGTAGACGTGAACAGCAACTTAAAATCGGGTTTCATTTCACACTGAATTTCAGGTGGTCGGATCATTCTGCTGCCAGACATATTGCCAAAATTTTGCTACCCACATTAATTAAACAAGTCCTGAATAATGTGATGGAGACATTATTTAGATAGATAGCTATATTTAAGGGAGACGCGAATTCTCATAAACATCACGAAAGAGACAACTCCCAACTTACTTCAACCTTAACAAGGTCATTCGATGTAAATAAGCTACACAAACAGGAGTACAAAAGTAACAAAATGTAAAACTAAATGTTGTTTAAAAATTTTCACAAAATCAAGTATAATTAAATTTAGCGAGACCATGCCTACGTAATTGCTATTAAAACCTTTAAGAATTGTGTATTTCACTTTCAGCAATAATTAGAAGTAAGATGAAGATAATAATACCAAATAATGCATTTATTTATTACAATTAAAATTCTTATTACTCGTTAACAATATATCATTCAATATTCATTTTTTATTTTTGTAAATTTGAATTCCCTAATGCATCAGAAATTAAGAATGGAATAAATCGAACTACTTACAATAAGCTTAGTTAACTTATCAAATTCAAATTTTAAAATATATTCAAAATTTTCGAGGGATAATTAGAAACGTTAGATGGTCAATTCACCCTTGATAAGGTCTATCGTTTTTGGAAATACATCGTTATTATAATCAATCGTAGATTGGTCACAAATGCCAATTATTCTCTTTTAGTCTTGAAAGTACTAAGATGAAATCCTCCTAAAAAATGATGTTACTGTGAAATCAACATGTCTGACCAGTTCCGAACACATTTTACCTCTAAAATACTTTAATCTTAGGTCTTCTTATTTTAACCTTCACGTTAAAACACTTATGCGTGATGTTGGACGTTTCAGTAGCCGGTGAACTAATCAAATACACGCAGAAGGTGAATTTTTTAAAATCACAATTCCTTTACAGTTGTAAGACCTAACATACTGAACCACTTGAAAATCATCATCAATTAGTGATTAAATTTAAGATGAGATATAGATCAAAGTAATTCAGTACATTGATGTGGTGGTTTCATGGATTACGTAGAATTGGCATATCGGAATTCAATAACTTCCAATGGGGTTTTTTCATACACTCTGATTTGATTTGATGCTCTTGGTTTTGGTCACACTATCAACTCCGATTTCGTTTGCAACCACCAAAATAGATAATGAGCCTATATATGAACTACCTCATTGAGATTAAAGTTAAAAGGAATTTGGTGGGTGTTGTGGAATTTACTTTGAGCATTTCTCGAGGGGTGAAAGAAGAAGTAATTGAAGACTTTCAATGTAAAAACTGAGATTTCCATACACTTCAAATTTCTACTCCATCTTACTCTATCTTCAAATTTGACAACAACTGATGTGAATTATATTTTTTAAAAGACCGAAGAATTTGAAATTCAGGAACAAGAAGAGAACTCAAAATTTCAACACACTGACCAGTTTTAAATCATATATCTAGAAACAAAGAACTCAGTAACAAGACAATTGTCAATGTACAAGTAATGCACTCAGGTTACTGTGGTTGAAAAAATTTAATAGAAATTTAGGGCATTCATCAATAATACTAATAGTTTGAAAATTGTCAACTCCCATTTCGTTTGTCACCACCCTAACAATTAATGGTTCTCTCCTTGAAATTTTTTCTTTATATGTTTGGATTTATTGGTGAAAATGAGCTCTCCACAATTGTTCCCGCTTCCCGATTAGAGGAGGTAAACGCGTTTCCTTCATTACATATAAGACTACTTGAACTATTTACATTCTTCTTTTAATAAATCATTACTAACTTCTATCTATCATAAACTCGGTTTTAATAGTTTACAAAATATTTCACAACTTACAACTTGAGCATATCTGATGCGAATCTGCTTTTATGCAAGTTGACACATTTGTCTATCCAGTGAGAAACGTCATGAACAACGATCCAAATGCGCCCACAATTTATTTAAAGATTGTAACTATGCCTGAATATCAAACGAAATATCATTAATGAGAAGGTTGATGCTGCCTCTATTTAGACTTTAATGGAGGTGAGAGGGAAGATGGGGAGGAAACCCCTTAGGTTATCTCACAATTTTAAATATCAGCAGCTATTATGCTTTGGATTAAGCAGTTCAACTACAACTTCTCCTACAATCTAATTTTAACATTATTTGATTGAAGTGCACCCTTCAAAGTGACAATCTAATAAAAATAGCATCAAGCTCTCTCAGGTGAACCCAACCACATGAAAGACATGCCCTTACTACTCCAAGGAGAGTCTCCTCCAAATCTACCATTTCTCATGTTGATCAAAGCAAAACTGAACTCTTGATCACTTTCACCACTGGATGGACACTGATTAGTCGGACGTGCAGACATACACACATGCACACACGAGCACGTTGACCATTTTGTCTCCGTCACAAGATGCCTCGCAATTATATTTCAAACGATATGCATTCTTGCCTACTTCCACATTCACATTATGTCTTCAAGAATTCCAGCAGCAGAATATTCAAAACAATTGTCCCTTGTGGTGCAGTTCCGCTAATCTCACATTTT